GAATATCGTACGGAGAAGCTTCAACCAAAAAAAAAGAGGTAGATATGAGAAAGGTACTTCGCATAAAGATGAAAATCCAGCGATGGCTATTAGCAATCAAATTCTGAATCTACTACAACAGAGAGAAGAAAGACAACAAAAAGAAGTGGGACAAAAGAAGAATAATGTTTGGGATTCTATAAAAGAAATTTCTGATTTGCAAGAACGTATTCGTTACAAAGCACTTACCAAAATTTACCATTTGGGAATACAAGATGTTTTTGTGAGTATGTCAGTGGAGGAAAGGCTAGGGTAGATTCAAACCAATATGGAATTAATGTGTTTGTATTTTTTTTGTTTCTCTTTTTGTGTTTTTTTACTCTTGATTTTTTGTTTTTGAATGATTTTAGTTCTTTTTTTTATTTTTCATCTTTTATCTTTTTCATTATTATTTTTAAATTTTCTTTGGATTCAAATCTATCATAAAAACCAAATGATATCCTGTATATTTTGCAAATACACTACCGTGGATTTGTAAATCTTCAACTTTAGATTGTAAAATCTATAATTAATCATTTTAAATGAATCAAATCTTTAAAAAACTGATATGATTTAAAATCCAATGGAGTTTATTTAGACTCCTACAACCAATAACACCCCAATTTATACTTCAGGAAAGGTTTAAGGTCAAATTAAATATTTTTGCAGCTTATATTATATCAAATGATTAGCATCACACATTCTATTAAAAGCTTTGTTCATATTTCTCTGTTTCCCCTAGATGAACTAATTAACTTGTTCTGATTCTTTCAAACAGAGACAAAAAGAAGAAACAAGTAAAAGAAGTCTAAGTGAAAGCTTTGTAAAGGTCTTATGAATCTTCATCCTTGTCTCCTCCGGTTATAATGTTCATTAGTGTCTTGGTTGCTTTGCCTATAGCGTGAGAAGTCTTCTCGGCCGCATTAGCCACGACAGGTTGCAGCGATATTTCTGATAAGCTTGCTCTCTCTTCAATCATTGCTGTTTTCAGTCACCAAAGTTTAAATGTTGCCACCATTAACAGTAAAAGAGAGCTTTTTAATACTAATGGCTAAAGGATAGAAGCTTACAGAGAGTTTGTTGTTGTGCACGTGTTCCGATCTGTCGGATTCCAGCTTCAGCAGCTTTAACCGCTTTAGCTGATTTGTTTACCCCATCAGTTATATCTTGGCTAAAACCAATTAGTTTTGGAAACACGTTGAGAGAATTGTTTTCGGAGATGATCATAAGCTAAAACATGAATGAAAAGACAAGAGCTTTAGTGATTACCTTAACTCGCTCAATTCGAGTGTAAGATCACTTATTTCCATGCCGGATAGCCTTATGGCTGCCAAGGTAGTAGGGAGTTCTTCGCGAGCTGTGTCAGCTAACTTTGCAAAGGAAGTTGCAGCTCTACCCATGGCCTGAATGTGTGCAAGAAAACATAAGGCTATATACGATGGTTCTGAATCGATATCATCAATTCAACAATAAAGATACACATTGAACTGAAATTCACCAAACCTTATTGAGTTAAGCCAAAATACAAGAAGAGAAACAATCATATAGCTGAACTATAAGCTAGGACAACAGTTAAGGGTTTTAGTTCAATGAAGCTATAAATTCCAGGAGAGAGATTAGCTGAAGCAAAAGGATTTGAGACAAATAAGCTTGTAATTAAGTCGTGACAAAATGTGGAAGACTTACCACAAGTGTGGGAACTGCTGCAATCACAAGACTTGTAAATGCCACTGATGTCTGCAACAGAGGGACTATCAAGAGATCAAACATTCTCAAATCAAACACAATCAGAATTGCAATATTTAAAAGCATTCTTTACCGTGCAAGCGATGAAGGCCAAGAGAAGAAATGCTTGATCGCTTAAACACAGCTTGGGTAATCGAAGGATTGAATGCGGAGAATTAGGGTTGCCTACTTGTACTTTGAAATTGTCAATCGATTCATCTTCTAGAACACTGATCGATGCATTAGACATGATTCCACCATGGGAATCCAATAAATCCTGAGAACTCGAGGGCTTTGAGAAACTGCATCTCTTTGGAAGGGATAAGTAGAGTGAAGGTGGAATCTTGAGGGTAAACCGATTCAAACTTGCTCGAGAAAGAGAAAGAAACGGAGACGAACGGCGAATCGGTGGAGCTCTAGAAATCGAGCAAAGAGATTTCATTTTCTTTCGGAAAGCTTTCAGTTTGGTTTCTCTGTGTTCTGTCCGGATCAAAGTACAAGCCGAACCCGAGTCTGAGTCGGGTCCAGGCCGGTTTACTCAAATGCCAAAAATAAATGTTGGTTAGTAATGAAATTAATCATTTCATCGTTCATTGTTAAAACCATATTCAAACACAAATGTTTTTGAATACCAACGTTAGATGTATAGGCAAAGTGTATGAAATGAGAAGTATTTGAGCGTCGAAAGTATTAGACCCTGTTTTCCGAGATGCATTTTCATTTCTTATAATCTTCATGTTTAAATGAATGAAATGTGTTGGGGAAAAAAACAGTTAGAATATACATTGTGATCCAAAATCATAGACCAGCTCAAAACCAAGTTATTGCAGACAAATGAAGTCAAGAATTTTTCAGATCAGATAGCGCATTTTTAGTTGTGGCCGAGATGACAGCATCCGAAGCATTCGGCAAGTAGTAATATTTTCCTGCGAGGTAACATTCCAATGTGATTTGTCTGCTTAAAATACGAAAAAAGATATCTCTAAATTCGATTGCGGATACAAACCTTGAGCAACTCTTGCGATCTCCTTGGCAAAACCAGTCGAAACAAACTTGTTCTCAGTATCAATAACTAGAAGAGACATGCCAGCTTTGTAAATCTTCGCAGCAACTTCAAGAATCTCATCCTAAAAACAACACAAAGGCCGGCAATTGTAATCAGCGCATATAGCTTCTTTCTTTCATAATTAGAATGTTTTAAGGATAGAGAGCTTTGTGCTTAATGTCACGTGCTTAATGTTTTTCGAAGAAGCTGTTTACCTTCAATTCTTGGGACGTGGGTCTAGGAGCATCTGGAGCAATCCCTTCGGGATCAGTTGATCTTTTCAGTGTAATGTTAGCTCGGCCATCGGTAATTGCAACAATCATTATACGCCCGACATCACCACTCTTCTCTGCGTTAAGTCCAACTCTTACCGCCTAATAAGATATTATTGTTAGTATTATGCTGACCCACAGATAATGGTGAAAAGACCACCTAAATAGTTCATCATCATACTAACATACCGTTGTTAAACCATGGGCAAGAGGAGAACCACCACCACAAGGAAGTCTCTCAAGACGATTTCTTGCCATTGCAATTGATCTAGATGGGGGCAAGAGCACTTCTGCAGCATCTCCTCGGAAAGGAATAATCGAAACCTAAACCAATCGATGGAGTATAAGTCTCATCTGAAGGCCCAACGGATTCATTCAAACTATCGACAAGCACTTTTACTATTGAAAAGAGTAATCTTTACCTGATCCCTGCTAGTATAGCTCTCTGCAAGCAGTTTGAGTGCAGCACCTTTGGCGTTTTGCATACGATTTAATGCCATGCTGCCACTTGCATCAACCAGAAAAATAACCTGGCATACAACAATGGTAGGCCAGAAGCATAATCAGATATTATCTTCATTTTCACTGAAGCTGTACTGCTAGAAACACTGTGAGTCCAACATATTTCAACACATTTTCAGCTCTCTTTCAGTAAAAGTTCTAGGCCTTGACTTGCTTTGCCTGTCGCCATATTTGGATAAATGGTAAATTAAATATCCCATTTTAGAAGCGATATGACATTTAAGCATCTATATCAAGCTTTACTTATTTCCATTTTGTCTTCATCATGCCAAACATCTGTGTATAAAATCTAAATGCATGGACAAGAATCAATACCAGGGCTCCAGCTTTCCTTGCCATTCTTTTAGCCCTCATATCTGTTTTCTCGACAAAGACTTTCCTAGTTCCTGAAATATCCTTCTCTCTGCGCAATTTCTGGTATGGCGCAGCTGCTCTAAGGGTTGCATCCACAGCTAATCTTTTTACTGGACCCTGTCAAAGTAAAATTTTGTTCAGTACTGTGCCTGTTTGGGAGCCTTACTACTCAAGTGGGAATCAAACTAGCGATCTTCTACAGAGGTGCTCTGGAGCAAACCAAGGAAACCAATAAACTAAGGTAAAGCAGGATATACATATATTGACTCAAGGAGCCGAGGCTAAATCAACAAAATCTCCCTGCATTTAGTTCAACTAGCCAGACTAAGATTGACCTCGAGGACAAACCTTTGGAAGCATTGGCTTTATATAGCGTCCTCTATCTTCTGAGAATATGACATTCTTTGCTCTTCCAGCTTTGCCCTTACGTCTTTGAGCTTGTTGAGCAAAGAAGAGGAGTTTCTCATCAACCAGACCGCCCTCAGCGTCAAATATAAACTCGTCAGGTATTTGGTCCTGTTGCTGCTCATTTTCATTTTCTTCATTGTTTTCATCCTACATTGGTTAAAAATTTATACTTTAGAGAGCCTAGTTCGTGCGACCAACAAGAGACGATAATGTATACCTAGTCCACTGACC